TTCCTTTTCAGGGACATTTGGGTGGACTGGAGAAATGCACCATGAAGAAAGAACTGGAGATCAGGGCTTAGATCTAAGGTGATGTGCTTCCTTACAACAGTGAAGGCTCAGTGCATACCAAAACAGTGTCACTTCCACCTGTGAGAGGGAGGAAGATTTATGCCCTTATCAAATGATGCATGAGATAAAATCTAGTGTCACTGTACTGATTCCATTAGGGCACTCCTTAACACGGCCCAGATTTTGACTTTGATTCACCAGAGGCAGGTGCTTGATTAATTTCCATAGATCTACTCCTATGTTTGACGTTAACTGCGAGCTTTAAGTGGATTGCTGAATCAGGTCCATTTAGGGATACCCATTGCATCTCAAGTTAAAGCTGTACTGCAACAGTCTCCAGGTCTGCTGGAACATACCCAACATACGAATGGACTCGGCAGGGTGTTTCACATACAAATAAATACATGGATTTTGAGAAGCACAGTATCATGAAGAGGTGGCCATAAAAAAAAAGGAAAAAAAAACCAAAACAAGGCAAAACAAAAGAAAGTTCTTTGATTGTGCTCTCAACTATCATATTAGCTCAGACAAGAGTTTACCTTCATATTATTTACTAACAGGTGGCATTTATTGGAAAATTATGATGCAACAGTGGGCAGAAAACAGGAAAGGACTCATTCCTCTTTGGAAGAGGGTTTTTCTATCCTTTTTGTTGTTGTTTCTGTTGCTGTAACTACTTTATATATTTCTTTTTAAAAGTAAGCCTAGTTAGTGAAAATTATTTTATGCTCCCTTGCTACTATACCAACAAAATGAAATCCAAGTTCCTGCATGATGTGACATGTAAACCATTTGTGCTGAAGTGACTGCCAGAAATGGATGGAAAGTTTTTATCCTGAAGAAACACTCAAATAAAATGCTAGCGTAATCTAAAATTATTCACTGACAGTAACTGCAGGACTTTTTGTGTCTTCTCTTTTTAATCGTCAATTTAGCTGAGTCTAGTATTCAACAACTTAGAGCATCAGCAGAGAAAGTGATGTGTTTTCCCTTCTGATGTTCAGTGAATCTGAAAACAAGTGGGTTTTTTTTTAAAGGAAGACATAAAACATTTTTGTTTGCATTTCTTGGGAAAAAAACCCATCAGTAGTGCTGCCATCTAAGGTAAAGCACACATGTTTTCAAAGAAAGTATTATGAGTGTGTTACAAACACTAACAGTTTGCCAGTTTCACTCACTCAGGTCCTGACGCAGGTCAGGTTTTAAAAGCTGGACAGCCTCAGCTCCACCTAGATGCTGTGATCACAACTGTGTGTGCTTATGTCGCTTAGCATTCTCGTGTGCCATGATTCAGCTTCATTTCCTTTCTTTAAGGCAGTTAGAAGTCAACAAAAATATATAAATTTCTTTTTCATAATACAACTTCAGATTTTCCAGACAGCCACTTGCTCCTTTGCTCAGAGAAAGTTTGAACTGAGTGCCTGTTTTTCTGCACCAGGAAAAAAAGTGACAGTTCATTAGCTTTTGCTATCAAACTCTAAAATTACACAGTCACATCAATCCACCTCCTCTGTCCTATGGAACTTCTCTGTTATCACAAAGCCTATTCAAAATTTCCCCAAGGGCCAAGACCAACACTTGAAAAAGAGTCTAACTTTGTACGAAACCAAAAGCGTGCCCTATTACCCACCACCTGAGACACCCCCGCCCGACCTCGTTCTTTCTAGTGCTGTTATTTCAGACCTGTATCAGTTCTCAGTCTGACCACAGCTGGGAGCAGTGATCTCCACCCTGCCCCCCCAAGCCTGTGTAACATTAGTTTGAATCTTTTATTCATTCACTGACAGAAATATCAAGAGGTTTCTTTAAATGACAGCAATGTGCCCGGAAGACTGATCTGCCAGAAGGATTCTTTGGCATTGTGGAAATAACTGGCTATCAGAGGGCGACTGCTTTGAAGTTACCATTTGCAGCACCCAGTGTACTTGGGTTGGATCAGTTTTTACTGGATTACTTTCATGACAAGCTCTTTTTGTCCCATCTGAAGAGTTTTTTTGTGAGCAATGAATGAGAGTGCATCTTGGGAATGATCTGATACTTCAAAAGATGATTCTTGTAGTTTATCTTGCAGTAAGCTTCTCTTCTGAAGGAAATGCTGCAGAGCCCTTGTATTGATCACAACGATAGCACATGCAATGCGCCTTTTCTCACTGGGCTGTCTGCACTACCGCTTTTCAGTGTAACTCTGAAGCAAATCCTTGCAAGCTAGAACTTCTATTAATTGATATAAGTGCAGATATATGCTGTCTTTTATAACGCAACATTTTTTTCTGCAAGCACTTCAAAACAAAGCTGGTC